TCCCGCCCCACCACCACTGCTGCTGCTGGAGCTGCCGCTGCTGGAGCTGCCGCTGCTGCACCGGTCCTCGTAGATGGAGATCTCGATCTGGGCCCTGCTAAGGATCATTGGTGAGACGGGCTAGCCCAATTGCTCAGCACCCACTCCCAGTTGTCCCCCCCACCCCTTGCCATCCCCCCAACACACTGCTGCCCAGAGGATACGACCCTCATGCCACGCTCCAGGGGGTCAGTGAGCAGCAGCCCCCGTGGTGCATAGATCTTCTCATTCTGGTCCTGGATGTACTTGGAGATCTTCTTCAGGACCTGCCAGAACAGGGAGGGACACTTAGGGCCTGCCAGCACAGCTTCCTCTTTTGACGTCCAGACCCCTGCTCCCTGTGCCCACCACCAGTCACACATATCCCCAAGCTCTCTGCTGCACCTCAGCACCTTCTCATAATGTGTCTCCATGCAGAGGAAGATGAAATAGGCAGTGGCACAGGCCAGGCAACCTTCCAGGTATGAGCTGCCCCCAATCTTCTCTGCCTCAGCATAGAAGCCATTTAGGGTTTTCACAGTTTCCTCGAAGAGTTGCCGCTCGATCTAGGGCAGAAGCTGGGGTGAAGAGAAGTCTGGCCAGAGACTGACTCCCTGCATCACCCTGTCCCCATTCCCAGGGGCACTTGGGGAGCACTTAACCCTCTCTTCCCTGCCAAGCCAATGCCTCAGCTCTCTGGCTCCTGCCCACCTCCCACCTATGCCAAGACCAGCTGAGCCTGCAGCCTTCACCAGAGCCTTCCAGGCTGCAGGAGCACCAAGGTCCTTGCACACGAGGCAAGGCAGCTGTGGCTGCATGCACCCAGCAGCATTGGCTGGCCAAGGGCCATACAACACCTGTGGAGGCCCCCTGCCTTCAGACCCCTTCCCCCTCTGAGCCACCCCCACAGGGCACTGACGTAGGGCAACCCCCCACCCTATCAGCCTGCTATGCTCCCTACCCGGCTCTCCAGCTCAGGGGGAAACTTTGTCTGGAATTGGCATGTGGTCCCATCGCTGTAATCCCGCTGCACGAAGACCTTTGTGGCCAGGGACGCGCTGCGCCGCAGCTCCTGCAGGCTGTGCACCTGAGGGCAGTGGGTGAGACACAGGTTCTGCAGTCGGGGAATGCCAGGCATCCCTTCTGGGAAGCTGGGAGCCTGGGGGACAGTGCCGTTCCCCCAGTGTCGGAGGCTGCAGGCAGGGAGCCACTAGCACAGGCTGTGTCATGCTGTGAGAACAGCTCAGTGCTAGAGATGCAATGCCCGGGGAGAGGGGAGAATTGTGGCAAGGGGAGGATGCTGCGGCAGCCCCCTGCTTGGAGCGTGGGCGAGTACGTGTGCTCCCTGCCCAGGGCTGATATCTGATCTCAGCCGTACTGGTTCCTGCATGCATGAGTGTGTGTC